ATATTCAACTATATTTTACAAATCGAAAATCAGGGCAAAACTGAATTCTGGAGAAAGTTCTACAAACTCCAAAATGTGAAAAATTAATTTTTGCCAGAAAAAAGTGAAGTCTGGTCTTACGATAAAATCAGGGGGATTTTTACAAATCAAGAACCGAAGAATGTAAAAAACGAAGTCTAGAAGGAAGTCTGCGAGAAAGCATAGGATCAAAAAATGAAAATAAGTAAGTTTGTGTGGTGGCTCAGGTCTAGAACTAGCCGCAGAACAAGTCTGCCGTGTATGTGTTTGTCTTTTGTCATAACCCAATTCTACAGCTATGAAAGTAACGAAGGTGAAATATGACTTCATCGCCTCCAAAGCCAAGCTAACTGACAAACGTAAGATCTATTAGTACGTTATCCTGCACCATAACATCGGCGACTTTGCCTAACAATCTAGTATCATCACAGCACGGCTGTAAAATGTATTACGTTAATAGTTAATTTTCACTTGCAACTAGTAACGTCAGAAAGAGCGATTAAAAACCATCATGAGCAGAACCTCCTGCATATTTTACCTAAAAGAGTTTGTTAAAGTGTGCACTTTACCGACTCCTTAGCAGATTGCCTATTTATTTAGCTTCAAAATGCTGGCTATAGCTCCACCAATAACTCCAAAAATGCCTGCCCATCGCTGTCCTGACTAGTCACTGATTGTGCTTACGAGAGTTTTTTTTAATAAACTTTGTGTGCTTTTGTACAGACAAAACACGAACTGAGTCACAAAAAATGAAATCCGTTTTCTTGAGAAATAGGCACACATATAAAGCAGCAATAGACATCCTGATATAGGCACATAAGGCACAAGCATGGCCGAAAAGCGATCGAGGAAACACATCCACAACTTTGACATCTGAAAATCGAATCCCATCAACGTCATAATCCGCAACTACATCCCATGGCCTTCATTCCAGACTGCATGTATGGCTTGGCTACACAGCTACTTTCTGGTAAATTTAAACTCAACGTTTAACTGCTGCTACGAGATTGTCAGCCACGGTGACATCCGTTTACCTTCCTTACATCCATTTTACACCTTTCCAAGAAAGCGCTCAGAATTCCGCATCGTTTTCCAAAGCAAATTCATCTCTTTTTATACCAGCATACAGCCAAGCAAGCCAGATGAGCTGCTCTGCTTAAATATCTCCTTTATCCCAAATCGTGATTTGCGCAGTTTTTGCTTCTTCTAAAATGTGTCACACGTTATCATAGCATTCCTAT